TAGAAAGACAGTGCAAGACGAGGCCCATTTACCCCCTCCCACTGATAATCTTTCCTGTAATCTCATCTGCTCAGCTTTATAAACCACTTTATCAAATATTTATTCCATTTTGGTTTAGGATCTAGCCTCTCTGGTGATAACCTTTCACAGCGAACTACTCCATGGTCTAATATCCCTCAGATCAGAAACGTTCCTCCTCCCGTCTCCTGGTTTGTTACAGCGAGGCCAGTTGGTTTTGGATTCAGACACCAACAGATCAATCTTCCCCTGTTCTTCCACAGTACAAACCTCAGGCTTCCCTAAACCCCTTACAGACTGCTGTTGCCACCAACCACTCCCACTCAGCATCAAATCCTGTTACTGCCAGTCCAGCGGGAATCACTGAAAAATGCAAACTCCTTTCTGTATCTGAGCTCTCTGAATCTTGCTGAATATCAGCGCCACAAATGGGAACAAAGTGCCAATTCCCTCCCTACTCCCACTCTTCAGGGGGACAGTAATGGCCTTGGCCTAGTCCTCCAGAGTCTGTTGGAGTTATAAGGATGTTGGAGTGGCTAGGACTTTTTCTCCCTGGAGCTAAGGAGATCAAGGAGGTGACCTTATAGAGGTCTATAAAGTCATGAGAGTCATAGATAAGGGAGATAGCCAACAGCTTTTCCCTCATGGTGGGGGAATCTGAAACTAGGGGGCATAGGTTTAAGGTGAGAGGTGAGAGATACAGAAGGGTCCAGAGGGGCAATGTTTTCCACAGAGAGGCAGGTGAGTGTCTGGAATGGGCTGCTAGAGGTAAAGGCAGACGTGAGTACAATTTCATCATTTAAGAAACATTTAGACAGGTACATAGATGGGATAGGTATGGAGGGGCACAGGCAAATGGGACCAGTTTATTTGTGAAAACTGGGCGGCATAGACAAGTTGGGCCGAAGGGCCTGTTTCTATGCTGTAGACCTCTATGACTCTCTGATTCCAAGGCTAATACCTTGGGCACATCAGTTCAAAGCCACCACAGCATCAGGCTGAATTTAACTTCAAAGAATGAACTCTGGAATCAGAAGCAACAATTGTCATTAAAACCCGCTCTAGTTCGCATTTCGGGAAGGAAAGCTACTGTCCTTCTCTGGCCTTATCTACAAGTGACTACAAATTCTCAACGATATGGTTAACTCTGAAGGTGTCTCCTAAGTAGCATGCTCCTCGATTCAAGGACTATTAGGGATGGGCCACAAATGCGTGCCTCAGGGATTAAGTGTTATGTTGAGGTTGTACAGGACGTTGGTGGGGCCTTGAAAAATTTTGTCCAGTTCTGGTCAACCTGTTATAAGGAAGGATATTATTAAACTGGAGAAGGTTCAGAAGAGATTTACCAGGATGTTCCCAGGAATGGAAGGTTTGAGTTATAAGGAGAGGCTGGATAGGCTGGGACTTTTTCCGTTGGAGAGGAGGAGATGAGAGTTGACCTTACACACGTTTACAAAATCATGAGGGGTGTAGATAAGGTGAATGGCAGATGTCTTTTCCCTAGGGCAGGAAATTTCAAGACTATGGGGCTTGTTTTTAAGGTGAGAGGAAAAAGATTTAAAAAGGACATGATGGCAATTTTGTTACAGAGATAGTAGGAACTGCCAATGCTGGAGAATCTGAGACAACAAGGTGTAGAGCTGGATGAACACAGCAGGCC